GCCATTGCACTCCAGCATGGGTAACAAGAGCGAAACTCCGTCCCAAAAAAAAAAAAAAAAAGAGAGAGAAAAAAAAGGAAAGAAAAAATACTTGAGGCAAAATTAAATTTATTTGAGCAAAGAACAATTCATAAACTGGGCAGCATTCAGAACTAAAAGAGGTTCAGAGACCTCACTGCTGCATTGTGGGCAGCAGGCTTTTACAGCCTAACATGAAAATAAGACAAAGAAAATACATTAAATTGGTTGGAGTAGAAAGACCCTAGTTAGAGATTACTCGGCAGTTTCTGATAGTAAAGTCTCTAGTTAAAACCTGGCAGTTTATTATTGGTAAAATCTCTAGTTAGAGGTTAGTTGATGATATGTTCGGCTTCAGTTTGCTTACACAGGAACTTAAGGCACTGGAGCTGCTCTAGTCTAATGGCCTCCTGACCCCAAATTTTCCTAACAGTGTACACACAGAGTAAATGCCAAGTAAATATTGGAATTACACTGCCACAAGCCAAGAAACTATACCAGAAACTAGGAGAGAGGCCAGGAATATGTCCTTCCCTAGTGCCTTTAAAAGGAGTATGGCCCTGCTGACACTCCGATTTCAAGACTTTTAGCCTCCAGAACTGTAAGACAATATGTTTCTGGTGATTAAGCCATTCAATTTGTGGTACTTTTGTATAGCAGCTCTAGGAAACTAAGATATCCATATCTAAGGATTTTCTCAAGTATGATCTTGGAAAATAAAGGATCAACATGAACTGCTTGGACAATGGCTCATAAATTCTTTTTTCTTTTTGAGACAGAGTTTTGCATGGTTGCCCAGGCTGGAGGGCAATGGTGCGATCTCGGCTCACTGCAACCCCCACCTCCCAGGTTCACACGATTCTGCTGCCTCAGCCTCCCGAGTAACTGGGATTGCAGGCACACACTACCACACCTGACTCTATATTTTTAGTTGAGATGGGGTTTCACTATGTTGGCCAGACGGGTCTCAAACTCCTGACCTGGTGATCTGCCCACCTCAGCCTCCCAAAGTGCTGGGATTACAGGTGTGAGCCACTGCACCCAGCCAGCTTATATATTCTTATGAGTAATTTGTTTACCCAGATGCTTCAGAAAATTCCACTTTGAATTAAACATAAGATCCAAGGAAGAGAAAATATTGTCACTACCTGCTGCAAGTAGTTGCAGTTAGAGAAGGGAACAGATATAAGGAAGCTAAAACCAACAGGAAGAAAAGAATCTGAACCCAAATAACTCATGCAAGAGGACAATTACTTAATTTTATAAAATGAAAAACGGTTCCATGATTTGTTTGACTAGTAATCTCAAATGTACAGCTTTTCAACAGAGAAGCAGTAGTGGCATCAGAAATGTGACTCAGGCTCACTTTTTAACTCTTTAACTAGTTATCTAGTTATCTACTTGTGTGCTTCTACGATTTTGTATCTTTGGGCTTCTTATAAAAATATTTTTAAAGGTTTTTACAGACTAGACATGGTGGCTTATGCTGTAATCCCAGCACTTTGGGAGGCCAAGGTGGGCAGGTCATTTGAGGCCAGGAGTTTTTGTTTTGTTTTGTTTTGAGACAGAGTCTTGCCCTGTTGCCCGGGCCGGAGTGCAGTGGTGGGATCTCGGCTGACTGCAACCTCCTTCTCCCAGATTCAAGTGATTCTCCTGCCTCAGCCTCCTGAGTAGCTGGGATTACCGGCACGCACCACCACATCTGGCTAATTTTTGTATTTTTAGTAGAGATGGGATTTCATCATGTTGGTCAGGCTGATCTTGAACTCCTGACCTCGTTCCGCCCACCTCGGCCTCCCAAAGTGCTGGGATTACATGTGTGAGCCTGTGCCTGACTGAGACCAGGAGTTTGAGATCAACCTGGCCAACACGGCGAAACACTGACTCTACTAAAAATACAAAAATTAGCCTGATGTAGTGGCAGATGCCTATAATTCCAGCTACTCTGGGGGCTGAGGCTGAAGAATCACTTGAACCTGGAAGGCAGAGGCTGCAGTGACCCAAGGTCTTGCCACTGCACTCCAGCCTGGGTGACAGAGCAAGACTCTGCCCGCCCTTCTCCAAAAAAAAGACTTCTACAGAGCAAATTCAAAATTGATGTAACTAATAAGAAAATTATTGGTGGGGAGTGGGGGAAAGACTGAAATTTTACCACCAACTTTTTACTACTTCTAACATCTAAATGGGAGAACTAAGTTCCTTCAGATTCTATGTCCCAAGGTAATAGCCATTTGTTTCTCTCCTCTTTTATCTAGCCAGTTTGGTACATTCTTCGTTTAAATTAATAGGTTATGATTTATAAAAATATTACATACAACCTTAGCCCTTCAGAAAATCGATTATTCTCTCCTCTCTCAACCTCAGGTTGAAACAGATAGGTCACTTTCTGGGCATCACCTTCCAGATGTTGAAAAGTGACAAGCTCTACTCTGTATCCTTCCTTCTCCCCAGATCTCCCTCAGTGACATTGTTTGGAGCAAAATCATTAGACTTACTAAGGTTAAAACTGATTCCATCTCCAAATTCCAAAACAAAAACGTTAAGAGATTGTCAGTGATGACATAGTAATGGCAACAATACTCTGTGAAATAGTTTAGTGGGAAGAGGGTTGGTAATGTTTTGACTATTTATATCGCCACGTTATTTACCAGAATGGAATCCAGACTTTATCACTGTAGTTAAAAAAACAGGTATAATCTGAGGAAACAGTAAATCTGAACAGACTTTTTGTTTTGTTACAGGATTTCAATTACAGTATTTAATTTCATTAGAGTTTTTTCATTATTTTTCTTGGTCTAATACAGTTTTTTTCCTCAGGTCCACAGTTTATTAATAATCCCTTTCATAAATGTAATGCAACTACCTCTAACACCTCGAAAAACATTCAGAAATGCTCTCTTTGTTCCAGTTAAAAAATGCCAAGGGAGTTCCAAGAATAGGAAGCATCAACCGAGGTATTTAGCACTAGATTGACAGAACTTGGCTCAGACCTGCATTACAAAAGCAAGTCTTGGAACTGTGGGTTTGCTTCAAGGCCACTTGCGGTTTTGCACTGGCTGAAGTGCTTTCGGATAATTTTTTAAAGGAAATTTACAAAATAATGCTGTAAAAACTGTTCTTTACAAGAACTATTAGGTTATCTAAAGACAACAAAACCCAATAAGAAAGTCAAGGTCACCTTTTCAAATCTCATGCTTTGCTGAATCATAATGGGGAACGCAGAAGGAAAGCTGTTTGTCTCCAGGTACTGATTCAGGAGGTAGACCCCGAGGTACACATCTTGCTTGCCAGGCAGGAACACCCCTGGGCAAGAAATCTTAAAAAGAAAGAAAACAACAAACAAGAGAGAGAAAACAGGCTTTGCTTTTGGTTTGTTTGCTTTGTTTCTCTTAAGCTCCTGCAGACACTGACATTTACCCCATCACCTCACTCCCTCACCTGTACCTACCAGCGCCAACATCCTCCCCTCTGCTCTCCTCACATAGCAAATTCCAGTTCCCTCCCACGTCTCCACCAGGTGTCACAGTCGCGCTCTCCCCGGCTCCTCTCCCCGCCCCTCCAGGAAGGTAGTGCGGAAGCGGAAGAGGCTGCTGGGCCGGGAAGCGTCTGTTTAGTCCGGCCGGGTCCCGGGAACGGGGCCGTCAGCCGCGATGCCGAGTCCCCGGAGGAGCGTCGAGGGACGGCCGCTGGGCGTCTCCGCCTCGAGCAGCAGCAGCAGCGGCAGCCCAGGCAGCCCTGCCCATGGCGGCGGCGGCAGCAGCAGGTTTGAGTTCCAGTCGCTGCTCAGCAGCCGCGCTACGGGCGTCGACCCCGCCTGCGCCCGGCTCCGTGCGTCGGAGAGCCCGGTGCACCGCCGCAGCTCCTTCCCCCTGGCCGCCGCGGGCCCCTCGCAGGCGCCCCCGCCTCCGCTGCCCGAGGAGGACCGCATGGACTTGAACCCGTCCTTCCTGGGCATCGCTCTGCGCTCCCTGCTGGCCATTGACCTATGGCTGTCCAAGAAGCTGGGGGTGTGCGCGGGAGAGAGCTCGTCGTGGGGCAGCGTGCGACCCCTTATGAAGCTGCTGGAGATTTCGGGACACGGCATTCCCTGGCTGGTGGGCACCCTCTACTGCCTGTGCAGGAGCGACAGCTGGGCCGGGCGTGAGGTGCTGATGAACCTGCTCTTCGCCCTGCTGTTGGACCTGCTGCTGGTGGCCTTGATCAAAGGGCTGGTCCGCAGGCGCCGCCCGGCCCACAACCAGATGGACATGTTTGTCACTCTCTCGGTGGACAAGTACTCCTTCCCGTCGGGCCATGCCACAAGGGCCGCCCTGATGTCGAGGTTCATCCTGAACCACCTGGTGCTGGCCATTCCACTGAGGGTGCTGGTGGTTCTGTGGGCCTTCGTCTTGGGCCTCTCCAGGGTCATGCTGGGGCGGCACAATGTCACCGACGTGGCTTTTGGCTTTTTTCTGGGATACATGCAGTACAGCATCGTGGACTATTGCTGGCTCTCACCCCATAATGCTCCCGTCCTCTTTTTACTGTGGAGTCAACAATGACACCATCTCATTGATTATGGCACCAGGAAGTCCGAAGGTTCGAATGTGGAAACATTCGATGATGCCAACCTAAACCAGCAGCCATCCTGCTTGTCCCTCTTAGGCATTTCAGGCTTCCTTTGGGATTTCAGGTGTCCCATCATCTTGATGTGCTGCTAGGCTGGAGCACATGCTGGCCATTGCTGAACACAGCCATTTTAGGGAAAACAAACAAAACAAAACAAAAAAACCCAAAACCCTCTTGTATATTTATTCAACAACTGTTTATATCGCCAGGACAACTGCAAAGAAGCCAAGCTGAGGTGGCTATACTGTTGCTGTTTTTCAAAAGTTGTTATCAGTAAGATTTGTGTTTTGTGGTAATCCCTAAATCAACATATCACTTGTAAACTGAACTTTGAGAAACATCTTCATTCTGTAAATATTCATGCAGACAGGCCACATAATAATCCTAGACCTTTTCCTGAGGTAGATTTTAAATAGTATTTTTAAAGTCAAAGAGACTTTAAAAATGGGTTTTTCTTATTTATTCCCTGAAGATCTGTTGCCACAGTTGGGAGATTTCTTCTTAATCCTGATTTTCTTGGTAAGCTTTTTTACTTTATTATCTCTTTATTATCTCTCTCTATCCATATTTGTGGATAGGGTCGTGGGAAAAGAGATTATAATACTTGTCTTTCTCTCCTCTCACTCCATCCCTCAAAAGATCTTGATTTCCCACTACTCCTTGCCTTTTAACATTCAGAGAAAAAGCCAAGAACTTGCTTAAAGAGGAAACACTTAAAAGGTAGGCATATCTAAGATGCTCATAGAAAAGAAAGAATGGGACATGGCCCCATGCTTATTTCTGTTTACAACCTAACATGGCATGAGAGAGGGGGCAGAAAAACTAAGTTGCTGGGGAGAGTCAGAGGAACTGAAAGTTTGTAAATAGGCTGACCACGTTATGCCAGTTACCAGTATGACAGGAGATGGAGCCCTGCTGCCAGTCATCTCCACTGAATAAAGAATAATGTTCCTCTAGCAGGGTAATAAAATGGGGAAAGAATGTCGCCTCAATGCAAAAACGTTAAGTTTTCTCATATATACCTGTATGCTACAGTTTTTCACATGGAATTCCATTTTCCGAAGCACATTTTAGGTAACAGTATTTAACTTGAAATTCATCAGGGGAGTCTGCTACTATACCAGGCACAAAGTATAACACCTAAATTTCTGTTTACATTGACCTTTACATTTAAAGCTATTCATCCATGGTGCCTCCCCAAATCATAAGACCAAAGACCACCAAACGCAGGGTGGGCTCTGCTCATTATTCTTTGACCCAGAAAGACTGGAGAAGGTATGTGCTTTAAGTGCTGCTCTGCCTGAAAAGAAATCCTTTAAATTACCTGTGGAAGTGTTGTCCTTAGACAATCTTAATGACTATCTTGGCATTTATAAATAGAAATGATTATGGACTTTTATCTACCATACTGAGGTGCAGATAAGAACCTAGAGAATGGCTGTGATAAGTATGTTCTGATTGAGTGAAACCATGAACTTGTTGAGAATGAGGGGCACACTGAAAAAGGAACAGCTATGCCTCAAAATCAAATGATTTGCATTCCCACAACACCCTGAACACCAACTACCTCTTGACTTGCTAAAGCAGCTAAACTGTGAAATTCTAAGTGGTTTGGGTTTGTTGTTTAACCTTAGGGAGATTGTTTTGACTGCAGCAATATTCAGGCCAGATATTTGGAAGCAAATGATATTTCCTCTTGCAGTGTCCACAAATCTGAATATTAGGGGCATGAAATTAAGCTTACCATTTGGTTCAAAATTACCCTTTTGGAATTCCCTGTTTTAGTTGCTGGGGCCTGAGTTTTCTGGCTTTTAAAGCATAAATCAATTTCACCTGATGTTTTTGAAGCATCCTAAGTACTGTGGAGTAGAAAACGATTTCTTTGTTAATTGTACACTGAGGAATGCCTTTTAAAAATCAAAATAAAATTAATAATGTTGAACAAAGCGAGATGAAAACTTGCTTCATTTTTGCCTTGATGAGGAGGGAAACTGCTTTATCACTTAGCTTCTCAAGAGTTCCTTCATCTTCCTGCACAATTTTGAGAGCTTAAAACTGGTATGGCATGACTAATATGGTCTAGCCTTATTTGCTGTCAGCAAAGTGGGACAAATCCAGGAAGTTTTGATCACCTTTGTTTCACAGCCGCATGTATGATGAAACATCCGTTGGCATTTGCGAATTGGATGGAGGCTAGCCAGATTCCATGACAATTTTCTGTTAGCATTGCGCTTGTAATCACAGCCACTGCATGACATTCTGTCACTAACTACATGGAAGGATTGTAACATGGAAACTGAAATAAGAGGGAATGACAGACCCGCAAGTAGGAACCATGGAGTCACTCTTCCACAGCACCTCACTTAGGAAAGACTTGGTGGTTAATTACAAAATATTTGTTGATCGATTGATTCCCCTTTTGGAATTAGCAAGGCAGGGCCATCACTAGGGGGAAAATAGCATAGAAAATACCTGATTGGTTCATAGATTTGGCAAATAGGAAGCGATGAAGCTGTTTAAAATTATTCCCTGGTTACTTAAGTTTAAAATTCTTTCACAAATCTTTATCCAGGAGAAGAAAATAAAATTCCACCTGGACTTAATGCAGGGTTGCTTCAAAAGAACAAAAAATTCATGATAAAGGTAAGAAACATGTTAGAACGGGAAAAAAAAAAAAAAAAAAGTGGGAACAGGTGGAGCTGAATTAAAGGGCAGGAAGTCTGGGAAGACCAATATGGAGAATCTTTTGGACAAAGGTACGATTTGTCCCAGAAAATAATGTGTTTGTGGTAAGTAGGGGACATGGGGGAGGATTGTTGAAAACCACCTGAGAGCGTTTAAGATTCCGACTTGAGGTTAAGGAGGGGAGTTCACTGATCTCTTACCGCCCGGATCTGCAGCTCCACCACCACCTCCAGAGGCATCGTTCGCTGCGTGGGCGAAAGGACTAGCGTGAAAAGATCCTTTTGTGCCGAGCCTTGGACCAATTTTTCTTAGTTTAGCTCAATTCCTAGAGCAAACGTTCCCAGAAGCTTCCCCAGCCCCACTCCCCCTTGTTCCCCCATCCGTCCCCCACGAGCCCGGGTCCCTCCCACCGGGACGGATCTCTCACACTCTAAGCTGGAGTGCAGGCTTCCAGAAGGCGGAAGCATGGCGTTGCCAAGGACACTCAAACGCGCAGTCTTCCGTAGTGGAACGCGCGTGAGGCCCCAGCGCAGGCGCACGCACTCCCGGTGCGCCGCCTGAAGGCGCCGGCGCGGTAGCCCACGCATCGCTCTAACCAGAGACACTGGCCTTGTGTGGCGTGGTAGGCGAATCGAGAATTGCTAACAATACCAGATTTCTTTCCATCAGCTCCTGTTATTCTCAATTACCATGTTAAAATGTTTACCGTTTCCCTTCTAAAAGTAGAATGAGATTACAGCTTTGTTACAATTTAAATAGTTATACATGTTTAGTAGCTGCACGACCCCCAAGCCTTGGAATTTCTGGAACAATTCTCATTTAATATAGTTGCCTGTACTAATAGTAGTCTTTTGCTTATTAAATGTTAGGCCCTCATATTTGCTTCGGAAAACATGGCCATAACAATAAATTAGAAATACAAGGCTAATTCTTAAACAGATTGAAAAGTTAGGTATTCCGTGTTAGCAACAATAGAAGTATGTCATTCTCTCCATAAAGGTGTCCAGCCTTTTCGGGGGTTTTAAGGCGAGGATTAAGTAGCCCAATGGGTTGTTACTATATTTGCCAAAACCACAGCTACCCTGTAAAAACCGTCAGAGGTGATGGACATAGCAAGAGTTCTGAATGAATAGGGGACATTCACTATGTCTAATAGACAATAATGAAGGAAAGGAGAAGGTAGTGGCTCCTTCTAGCAATCCAAAAAATCTAGTAAGGCCAATGATGTCTCTGAAAAAAAAAATTTTTAATCCTAAATTGTGTTGTCATTTATTACTTGTATTTTGCCTTAGAGAGTTATACAATTGGAAATAGTGCAGAAAAATGGTCAAAACAAGATTAGGTATTTATTTCCCTGGAAGGGAAAGACTTGGTACAATGAAGAAGGGCATTCTGTATCCTGATCCAATTCCTAGTGCTGTGTGTCTCTGCGTACCAAGAGATACAAGTGGAAACCTAGCTAACTATAGTGTCCAGATCACTGACTTGTCACTCACAACTTGCTGACACCCAGAATGATGTGGGACAGGGCCTGCGATTATCCTAATTTATCACTGAGGCTATCTACCTCTGTAGCTCACCAGCACCAATGCTAAGAAATCAAGGAGAGTGACGAGCAAAACTAATAAATAGCTGGAGATGTACAGGGAGAGAAGAATCAGTCTTTTTTATTTTTTGAGACAGAGTCTCAACCTGTCACCCAGGCTGGAATGCAGTGGCACAATCTCAGCTCACTGCAACCTCTGCTTCCCAGGGTCAAGCAATTCTCCTACCTCAGCATCCTGAAGTAGCTGTGATTACAAGCACACGCCACCATGCCCAGCTAATTTTTGTATTTTTAGTAGAGACGGGTTTCACCATGCTGACCAGGCTGGTCTTGAACTCCTGACCTCATAATCCACATGCCTCAGCCTCCCAAAGTGCTGGGATTACAGATGTGAGCCATCGTGCCTGGCCATGAATCAGTCTTTATTGAGGATCTGCAAAGTGCTAGGCACATTGCATATGCTAATTCATTTCATCCCCACAATAACTCTCAGGGAAATATTATCCCTATTTTACAGATGCAGAATCTAAAGCTAGACAGTCTTTTACTAAAAGCCACAGACCTAATAAGGGAGCAGCCACATTTGAATCCAGTCGTGCCCTACCACATCACTGGGTCTGCAACATAGACATCTTGTTGATCTCTGGAGACACAATGTTCCATACTATGCCCTTCCTAGTCTTAACTCTTGATCTAACTGGACTCTCCTTGCTTGGCTACTAGGGCACAGCTCTCTTCTGGTTTCCCTCCAACTTTCTGGTCATTGTTTCTCTGTCTGTTTATCCTCCTCTGCCTAGCTAAGCAATGTTTGTAGGTCCTTTCCTTTCCTCACTCTACCCTTTACTTACAGTGTCATCCATTGAAACTTAGAGTGTCAGGTTTTGATTAACACATGTACACAGATTTACATACCCCACCAAGATCTCTCTTCTGCTGCCCCTGACAAGGTGGAATCTCAATATCATATCTTATATCATACACATAAATATGTGTCTCCTCTTTGTAGCAACTGCCATAATAGCAGTTTTACATTTGTTCCTGTGACTGTTGATTACTATTCGTCTCCATAATCTGTAAACTCTGCATGGCTAAGTGTCTATACCCTAAATAGGATACAAGATACTCAACAAATATTTTTGAATATTAAATGCAGAGATGGTCAAACCAACCTGTAGGGGTTAACGTACGTGGGTAAAGAGAGGTCCCATCACATGGGGTAAAAGAAATCTATGGAATTAGAAAGGACCAGGCACAGCTACTTCTGCTAGTCTGCTATGGTGATATTAAATGAGTCGATGAGGATACTTCACACTCTCTTAATTGTCCCCACCCACCGTGGTCACCTGACGCTCTCAGCTGCTGTGGAAATGTGGAAGTTGCTGCTTACATGATGCCTCTCACTCATCTTGCAAAGTAATTTATCATTGAGGCTGTCTAACTCTGCAGGGAGCCAACAAAGCCTTTTAAGGATTGAACTGTCACCACTTCAAAAGAAAGGCTTTATTACCTGGGTAGTTACCTCTTGGTGACAGCAAACATTTCAGTGAACAACCTCTATTTCCAGAGAGTGTCTGCAGTGCAGCTTGGCCAGCAATGACATCAGCATTGCAGAAATGATACAGCAACACAATCCTGTTCACATCCTGGCCCCAGACAAGAAAAAGAAACATGCCCCAGATGGGGATTTTCCAAAGAGTAAATTAAAAAAGAACAAGAATATGACAGATAATTATGGCTCAGATTTTTCATTTAACTAAAAAAATTAATTATAAGACAGAAAAATCATAAATATTTGAAATAATAGGTGTATTCATAGGAAAGGAAGAAACTATTAAAAAGACAGCAGTAATAGGAAGGGTATGGGAAAACACATTGATGAGTGTAAATACATACAATGTATTCGTTTTCTATGGCTACTTAACAAATTACCACAAATTTAGGGGCTTAAAGCAAGACAAATTTATTATCATATAACTTCGTGAGAAGTCCAACACAGATCTCACTGCGTTAAAATCAAGATGCCAGCAGGGCTGCATTCCTTGCGTTTTTTGTTTTCTTGCTTTTCTAGAGGTTGCTCTTACTTCTTGGTTTAAAGTTCCCTTCTTTGGTGTTCAAAAGTGGCTACATAGAGCCAAGTCTTCTCATGCTGCCACCTCTCTGGTTCTGTTTCCTTTTTTTTTTTTTTTTGAGACGGAGTCTCACTCTGTTGCCCAGGCTGGAGTGCAGTGGGCGATCGCAGCTCACTGCAACCTCCACCTCCTGGGTTCAAGCAATTCTTTTGCCTCAGCCTCCCAAGTACCTGGAACTACAGGTGTGTGCCACCACGCCCGGCTAATTTTTGTAATTTTAGTAGAGACAGGGTTTTATCACATTGGCCAGGCGGGTCTCAAACTCCTGACCTCATGATCCACCTGCCTACGTCTCCCAAAGTGTGGAGATTACAGGCATGAGCCACCATGCCCGGCCTCCATTTCACTTTTAAGGGCCTTCGTGATTGCATTGGGAACACCCAGGTAATCCAGGATAATTTCCCTAATTTAAGGTCAGCTGATTAGCAACCTTAATTCCATCTACAACCTTAATTTCCCCTTTACCATGTAAGGTAACATATGCACAGATTCCAGGGATTAGGATGTGAATATCTTTGGGGGCCATTATTTTGCCTATTATGTATAACTTCTCTGAAGAGCAATTTGATAATGTCTGTCAAAATGTTTAATTGGACTCAGCAATTCTACTACTAGGAATTTATCCCATGGGTATACTTTCACAAAAACATATGATACACAATTATTTCTACTTAAAAAAAATACTGGAAACCAACTAAATGTTCATTAGTTAGGATTGGATTAAATCAGTTATGGTTTAGCCATATGGTGGAATATTATGCAGCATGGAAAAAGAATGAGGCAGACAAGAGTTATACATTCTAAAAGTAAATAGTCTCTAAAATATAGAGCCAAGAAAAAAATGGCATAAAAATGTATACAGTGTGCTGCCATTTGGGAAATAAGAATAATATTATATCTACATATATGCTTAGAATATCCCTGAAAGGATACACTGGAAGCTGCTAATAATCTGTGCCTCTGGGGAGGGACCCAAGGTGGACGGGCAGAGAGGAAGTTATTTTTCATTAAATATCTTTAGGTACTTAAAAATATATTTTTGCCAAGGACTTACATTATTTAGTCCAAAAAGGAAGCCACCTTAAAACAAGTAGAAAATGTAAAATAATAGAAAGGATTGGTCTGGGAATATCGAAAGGAGCAGAAACTGGCTTCTTCAGCTTTTTTAGCTAAATTGTATATATAGTATACCATAAAAATATCCATGAAAGTGTGTCTGCCATTCTGCTTCCAGTGCAGGCCTTCTTATCCTGTGATCCTTGGCTATCTCAGGGGTCATAAACCTCCTGAAATGATAGGCAACATTTTCCATATGTGCATATATGCATTTGTCCAGAAAAGAGTCTGTAGCTTTCATAATCTGAAAGGGGAAGGTTAGTCAAGTCAGGTTTTATGACACTGTTCAGTGCATGCTGAGCCTTCTTCCTGCCATCAGTTCCCCACCTACAGCAAAAAGAAAGGCCACCTGGGTTATCAGACAAGGTCGCAGGTAAGAAAAGAAGGGCTGTTCTCTCCATCACATCCATACTCCCTTATTAGAGCAAAAAGACAGCTGTATTCCATAATAATTTAAAAAAAAAAAAAAAAGACCTTCAAAGTCCTGTTCTAAGCCATTTGTCTATGTCTGAACTCAACAGACTCATTTGTCGGGCCCTACAACCTTTTAAGCCAGTGAATTATTCATTAGCAAGTATGAATAACACCAGCAGATTTAGTTTCCAAAGTGAGTTCGTCATTTGCTTTTGCCTGCAAAGGAAGAAACACAAA